AATAGATTTGACTTTTCCGGTGATTCGACGATCTTGCTTGGGAGATTTCCGGATAACTCGTTGAAACTCAAATCCATCATTATTAGTCTCTCGGAGAACACAAATCTGGGAGAAATCCCATATCTCAAACCATTGAATGATAAGTTAAGCTGTGTTAAACCCCTGAGGTTAGAGATACAAGTTGGAATCCCTCCAACTAGAGCATTTTTAGCTAAATTAAGAACTGACAGTGATTCTTTCTGTGAAGAGAAGCACGGCAAGGTGCCACCAAACTGATTGGATTCAAGGTTCAAATACTGCATTTGTTGAAGAAAATCACTCACTTTACCCGTCAAATTATTAAAACCAAGATTGAGCTTTTCCAAGTTCGTCGAAACATTGCCCATCCACAACGGGATTTCACCGATGAACATGTTATGACTCAGGTCAAGATCAACTAATTGCACTAAATTACCGAGCGTGTCAGGAATTTTACCGGAAAAAGCATTATAGCTAAGATCTAATGCCTTGAGATTCAAAAACTGGCCGAAGCAAGCTGGAACAGAACCGTTAAAGCTATTTCGAGACAACGAGAGGGTTTCTAGATATGTAATATTGCATAAAGAGGGGTGAACCTGACCGGACAAGTCGAAGCCGGTGAGATTGAGGGCAGTGATTCTGCCGTACTGGTTGGACCGGGTAACCCCGGTCCAGTTGAAGCCACCCTGCTCCCAATTCGACAGGCTGTGGTATGGATCCTGGAGGTGCGATTTGAAAGAGAGTAGCGATTTCATATCCTCTTCAAGCTCAACAATGGCTGAAACAAACGAATTTCCAGATTTATTGAAATGAAACCCGAAGCCAGAAAGAGTTGCAGGGTGAACGGCTGATAGCAGCAAGAGGAGGAAGAGATGTTGGGGCGGCATGTTTGGTAGAATGATCCCAATGGCTAAATTCCAAAACCCATTATAGAGAAGTTGGGGTTTTGGTGAAGGAGATAAGCAGATAGTGGGCTGAGAGTGTGTGTTCATTAGGAAATGATACTCGCTGCTCTCCATGCCGAGGTCAAGGTAGTTACTCGTTAAAAACTTAAAATGGTGATATCACTACAAAATCAATTCAAATGGAGTATAAAATAGTAAAATAATAAAATCATACAAATCATAAAAAATCGTACAAATATCGTGTAAAATTGTGTTGAATCGTTTAAAATTGTAGCAAAATTGTAGCAAAATCATAATAAGTTTTTTTAATGAAAATGGTTCAAATTTATTAAAAATAACTACTACAAATTGATACAGAATTACAATAATAATAATACCAATAGTGGTTCAAGTTCATTGAAAGAAGTTTTTACAGCTTCAATTAAACTTGTAATATTCTTCGACCCATTTTGATCTTTGATATATTGAATCAATTGTTCTAAAGAACCCCACGTCTATAACACTCAAGTCAGGACTATTTGGAGGTTGGCATTTCAGTTTAATGTTCCAATCATCCTGTGTCCCAATCTTGATAAAGTCAGAATCATTAACCCCTATGTGAGGTCTGACATTGTCATGTTGTATTAAACATGTCTGTTTTCACTTTCTGGCCACTTCTATTTGATTATTGGGACAACTTTGTTTAGAATCATGTCTTTGATCACAACTCTAGTCACACTAAGTATTGGTTTTGTCTCTAAAGTTCCAACACGTCAGTTTTTGTTTGACCTTTTGGCTAGTTCTTCATGTGTGAATGGAAATATGCCTACTTTTCCATCCCATAGAACCTCTCCATTATCTTTTAGTCTCAGCCTACCAACAACTGCTAGGAAAATTATCTTTGGAATGAGTTTTTGTGATTGCACTGTTCTATATGGATCCTCTTCTGTTGGAACAATGTAGAATGTGGTTGTTTCTTTTTATAGGTAAAACCACTTTTCATCAATATGTATGTAATCGTAGAAGTCATGAAAAGTAGGGGTTTTTGATAGGGAATGTGGAAGTATGATTCAAACAGTACTCTAACATTTTCAACTTCCCAACATCTGTAAGGAGTGGCTTGATAGCACTAGAATGTCTTTTGATTTCATTTCTTTTAAACCACCTGCACATTGTAGAGGAGGAAACTTGCATGCGATAGCCCAAAGCTCTCATATTTTTCCTTTTATGCAATGGTATTTCTTTCTCTGACTGTCTAAGCAAATCCTTTTTCAACCTACATTATGTGTCAAGTTGCTTTGCAAGTTTATGACAACACCATCGTGTATTTGTTCTTTTTCTTTCTTCGAGATCATGTGGACAATTTCTCTACTAAATTTGAACTCGTTGTATATGTGAATAATAATGCCCCTCTGAAGTTTTCCTGCATTTGTCATGCTTAACAACTTTTGCATTATGCGGTTTTTAGTTTCTTATGTGATTCTAGGCCTTGGATGTTGTGATGTGTGTCCTTCCCCCTCATTTTTCGTTTGAAACATGTGTGCAGGTGAGAAGGGAACGAGTTGATCATCTGGAGGGTCTTCAAAAGCCGTGACGATTTCATCATCTGAAGGGTGTTTGAAAGCTGTGGGGAGCTCAACTACTTCCATTGTTGTTCTTTAGTGTTTTGTTTGTAATGAAGAGTTCTATTTATAGTTGTAGTTTGTGTTATGTTTCAATTTGGAGGGATTTGTGATGTTTAGAAAATTTTAGACTATTGTATACTCCTTTTAGGAGGGAAATCCGAAGATTAACAACAAATTTAAGTTCCATGTACTGTAGTCGAAGTGATGGTTCTACAATACATGGAAGATTTCGGTCCAAGTGCTCGTTGCTTCGTTTTTTTTATACCGTGGGTGTAGTTAGGAAATGTCTTGCTTTTGTGAGGGTATTTATGGGGAGTCAAGTCTAAAAATTTTGTTCTCTTAAATGTTGAAAAGTCAAACTGTGTCAATGAAATTGAAACGAAGGGAGCATATGTGTATAATTGAAATATATAATATATATGTGTATATTGAGCGGGGTGGGTCAAGGCAGCACAAATCAATACTAATACCTAGACCGTTCCATTGTGTGCATGGGATGGGGCGAACTCATCCCATTTGTATCACGCCACGAGCCGGACTGATGAGTCCTTATGATATTTCAGATGTCCGAGCTTGGGGACCTATATTTCTCATTCTTAACTGGTCCTGATTGGTCCAATCTTTTGAATTTTTATACTTTGTACATTTTTAAACCCTTCCCCACCCCACACATTTTCAACGTTTGAAAGGCTCACATATCTTTTAACATACTTGTCAATGGTTTAATGTAAAAATGTATGACTGGAATCAGGATTATACCAATCAATCTCAATTGAAAAGATTGGGGCCTGGATGCTTGTTTCTAGACGGTCCGGTCCAGTCTCAGTTCGGGCTCAGAAATGTTAATTCCAATCTCGGTTAGTCCTAATATTCTTATTATCTTGATACAAACCATCAGGGAATCGAGATGCATGTTGTCTATTGTCTAGTCTCCTTATATATTTCACACCGTTTTGGCATTTAGCCCCACCTTTCCCTTGAAATCCCTATTGGTCTGAGAGAGAAAATGCTTTTGCAATGTTTACGGTTTGGGATCTTTGGATTTCAAACACCAAAATCATTGACTCCCCAAGTAAAAGATGATTCAATTGATAGAATTAAATTCCTTTCTTTTCTTTACAGGCTTTTACTCCGCAAAAACTATGTTTACCCCATTAAAACTCTAAAGAAGCCCACCAAAGATGTATGACTAAAGAACTTCAAATTTCTTGGTCATAAAACACGAGCTTGAAGGCCTTTTGGGAGGCTATGAGAAACTATCCGAGTAGGAATCGAGTACGAAAGTAAAGGAATGATCCAAAGAGAAAGTCACATGCCCGTTATTACAAGTGAATTCGTTTCTATTTATAAGCTCTTACAAAACATGCCCGTTAGTTAAATACTATTTTGACTTGGCCCAATTAGTGAGCTACACTAATGGTGCCTGGTCGGTCAGCCCAATGTCTAGACTGATTCTCCACTAGCTAGCTCACGTCCATGATTTTATCAAGCCTACTCCCAAGCTAACACGCAATACAATATCTGATTTGATCCATTACCCGAACATATATGTTCAAAAGTTCTTTATTATTAGTGACTTGGCCATATAATAGACAACAGAAAACAAGTCAAAGAAGCTGCTTTAGCAAATTATGAAATTCTACAATTATCTCATCAATTTTTCTAATGTCATTGATTCAAATTATAGGAATACTCAGTTCTCTCAATTAATTGTTTTTATGTACACACATGTATAAATAAATATTTATTAGCAATAAAAAGTATGTTAGAATTTTAAATCTTGACCCTTCAATATAAGTTCTTTAAGTTTCAGTATCCCTACCTAGCATGATATCTTTGGATCCGCCACTCCACATGCCTTTTCAATTATAAGAACAACTTCAAGCGAAGATATTTGATGAAATGAAATGAAAGACATATTACAAAGTATTAGCAATGCATATAAGAGAATAGCATAACTCAAGATTTATCATTTTTATCTTATTCTTTTTTATCTTTATCTTTAATTTTAATTTTTTTATCTTTTTTATTCCTATATTGTTTTTTATCTTTTTTATATTTTTTCTCTTTTTGCTTCTAATTTCATATATGGATTTATGTAAGTTAAATCACATATCTTTGGAACTAAAGTTTGGAACTTTGGATGTTATTGTTGTTGTGTGATCTTGTTTACATATGTAGTGTTATCAATTGCAATAACTGCCGTTATTAATGTGTCTTCCATAAAAAAAGGATGACACCCATCTCTGAGGGCTCCAACCCCAACTGGACGATACGTTATGAGGATGTAAATTGGACTATAATCTCAATCTGACAGATATAGAGTGGGACTCTGTCCTCGGTACATGCAGAGGTCATATGTATTTTTAGTATAGTAATCCCATCGCAGTTGACGGGATTCGAATCCGGAACCTAACCACTCTCTTGCTTCCATGCATAAATACTACGGAGTATAAAAAATCATCAAGACTGAATTTGGTAAAAAGATTTGCAATGTTTTTCAGGTTGAACGAGAGTATCTCGGCTGTCCGAAATTTGCAACGAACTGCGCAATTCTGGCCGAAGAACGTGACAAGAGAGTAGAGCCGCCCGCCGGAGATCTGCTAACATGATTGATTGTTAGGATGAATTAACCGAGATCGGAACATGACGGCCGCCGAAGATCTGCTAATCAGCAATAATTAACCGAGAGTGAAACATCATAATCAGCAATAATTGCGTACTCTTTCAAATTTACGATTCCTTTGTCGCTACTTGCGAGCTGCGTTGTTTGGTTTAATCTCTCAGCCTGTTAATAAACAGTAAAAATTAAACTCAGACCAATCATTGTCACAGAGACAAGATGAACACGTTTGTCGCCATCCTCAGCTCATCCCTCTCTGTATATCTTATTTTTGCTTTCCATTGCGAAAACCGGAATTCCTTCGTTTCTCATTGAGATGGGCCAAATCCAAATTCTCCTCCTTCCCCTTATCCCCTCATCCGAATATTACTTCTTAACATCATCAATCCACTCTCCCATCTCCGGACTATAACCCGGCTCCGGATTTCACAATCCGGAGAGAAAACGACACATCGGGGATTTGAATGGCGTCGGTGTTTCTGTACCACGTGGTGGGGGATCTGACGGTGGGGAAGCCGGAGCTGGTGGAGTTCACGGAGACGGAGACGGTGGAATCGGCGATTAAGGCCATAGCGGAGTCAACTGAGTGCGGGATACCGGTTTGGAAGAAGAGGTGCCAGCAGCATGGCGCGGCGGAGAGGGCGGAGATGCGGCAGCAGAGGTTTGTGGGGATACTTAACTCGCTCGACATTGTTGCCTTTTTGTCCAGAAAGGAGTGTTTGGCAGATCAGGAGAAGGCGATGAAGACCCCTGTTTCTGAGGTGGTTGTGCCAAACAGTTCCTTGCTGAAGGAGCTTGATCCTGCCACCAGGTTACTAATTTACTTTTTGGCAATATTTTACTCCGTATTTATCACGGAGTACTTCATGCTGGGTTTGAAACTGATGCAATATACTCTACAAGTATATAACAGCATAATACTCCTTACGATTCAAGTATATTTCTTACTTTTATAACAGCAATCGAAATAAAAAAACGTGTCTTGTGTGTATTTCGAATTCAATATCGAATAAATATTATTCACTATATGTGCATGATCAGAAATGATTTACTCCACATAATACTCCTTACGATTCAAATAGTTCTTATTATAAAAGATCGATGTATTAAGGGACATGGAAATTATATTTTACCTTTTTTGTAGAGCCTAAAATGTTTAAGTGTGTTTTGAGATGAAACGATGGACGGACCCAGGATATTCATCTTGGAAGGGTGGTAACTTAAACAAAAAATAGAGGCGCTCATTATTAAAAGTTATAACATTTATATAATAATAATAAAATGAAGCATTAAAATAGTATACAGTAAGCAAAAAAATAAAACAAGAGACAAATATATTATTACAAATACGTTTTATATTATTACATAAAAAAGTCTTCACAGACATGAGTAAGTGTGTAAGAGTGTGTACAAATAGTGTGTACCAATAGATTTTTTCCACACATTAAATACTTTACATCTATCAATCCAAAATAAACACATGGTTGATAATAAATGCAAGTAAAATTGATTTTTGAAACATCCAAGCTATGAATGATGTACTCCCTATATAGGTTCATATGAAAAGTCAGACTACTCAAAATACAAATCAGTCATAGCCTATGTTAGCAGGAAAAGTGAGAATCATGGAGAAATGTCATCCTTTAGTAAAAAAAATACTCCGTAGCCTTTTACAGAATTTTCAAAGAGTTTTTGTAGAGTTTCCAAGTTTTCCCTGGAGTTTCTGTAGTTCAAAATTCATAGCCATCAATGAAGACATTTTCAGCCTATTATTAGATTTTCAGTTATCCATAATGAGTTGGTGAGGGGATATTATTGAAACTAATTAATACTCCCATCAAGATTTGTGAGAATTGTCCACTTAATAAATAAATTCATTCTCCCTCTCATCATGATTGATGATTCCAAGAATTTAACGGTTCATATTCGTTAATTTTTAGATATTAGTCCCAAATAAGAGTAAAACTGTTTTAAAAAGCAACAATAAGATTATATGGGGTAGGTTTTTTTCCATAATAGGAGTAATTTATGTTCTCTATTCCTATTCTTAGATATGTGTTGTTATTAAACATAACCTTTATCTCTATTTGTACAAAATTAATATATTCATATTCCGATTAATGTCACGTCAATATCCTGTATTGCAAAACAATATTTTCTGGAGAATTTTATTTGTTTGCTCATACAAAAAATAAAAATACTTATATGAATTTCGTACAAGTCTATTTTTAAAAAACTAAACATTGTTTACATTTTACATTGTTTGCTCATTTTAAAACATTTTTAAAAAAATAAAAATTGATGTTAAAAATATCAATTTGGAGTTTTCTTTACATTTTACATTGTTCTTCGCTTCAAAACTAGAAACAGTCAAAATATTAAAATGAATTCTTCACTATATGTATGACAATACACCACACACAAAAAGCTAAATTCTTTGATAGCCAAATAACTGTACCAATCAGTACTTACCTGATAAGGGCCTGTAGTGAAACTTAAACTATTGTAATAAAATATGTAGTGTTTGATATCCAATTTAAGATTGATAGATGCACTGGAGATGATGAAGCATGGCGTGAAGCGGCTTCTGGTTCCCAAAATTCTTGTGTGGAGAGGAATGAGCAAGCGTTTCTCTATTCTATACAACGGCAGGTGGCTCAAGACCATTAAAACTACTGCAAACAATGCCAACCAACCATCATCATGTGCTGCTTCCATACGTGACAAGTTCTGTTGCCTGTCAAGAGAAGATGTCATCCGTTTTGTCATCGGTTGCCTCGGTGCATTGGCTCCTCTACCTCTTTCCTCCATTTCCTTCCTTGGAGCCATCAATCCGAACTACTGCTTTGTTGAGTCATCCCGGCCTGCCATAGAGGCGTCCCTAACAACCCCTCATGATCCCGGTGCAATTGCGGTCGTGGAGGTCACTTTAGAAGGACACAGTAAGATAATCGGTGAGATCTCCGCGACTAAACTGTGGAAATGTGATTACTTAGCTGCGGCGTGGGCACTGGCTAATCTCTCTGCAGGGCAGTTTGTTATGGGGGCAGAAGAGGAAAATGTTACTTCTTCCAGATCACTGCCTGATTTTGCTGCTGTCAGGTGATCTTCTCTTCACCCTTTTTTGTTACTTACAGCACCCCTTCACTTCAACGTATTTCTATCCCAAACGAGACAACTAAATCAATCATATTTTTCAGGCAAAATTGCCCATAAATAGGAGTATAACATAATTGATCATATTTTTTTCAAGCAAAGTTGCCCATAATAGGAGTAAAACATAATCAGCTCATATTTTTTCAGGCGAGGAGAACAGGTCCTTAAACCTCCTATATTAGCTTCTGTTCAAGGGTCAACAAGCAGGGTGAGGAAATTCAGCAGCAGGAGCATTGGGTTCTTTAGCAATAACAGTGCAGCCAACACTAGCTTAGGCATTGCGAGAAGCATGTATAGGGGAAGGAGTGCACCATTGACGTGTAGGATTACGAATTCGCTGGCTGCGGTCATGGCCCAGATGTTGTCTCATCGTGCTACTCACGTGTGGGTTACCGAAGCTGAAAATGAAGAGAAATTGGTCGGGGTGATTGGGTATGCGGATGTCTTAGCTGCTGTCACCAAAGCTCCACAATCCTTCTTAATTCCGGATACCGCACATTCATCTTAAATATACGTTTTCGCTTCTGAGCTAACCATACCTTAAGGGAGTTGATAATGAAGAAAGGAATTGCCTTGTCTTGTGTTATGTTCTGTTTGGTAGGCATCTTCTTCCTTTTAATGGACTGGCAGATTCATTGCTCAGATGGTCTGTATACTTTGCTAGTGAATGCATGTAGTACAGTAATGAAAATAGTACTTTTTTTAAAAATTACCTTACTGTACAATCATTGAGCACACTATTTGTAAGATTGCCATTGAACATACAATTAAATTAGATTATCTTAGGTAATACGCAGTAGGAATTTCTTCTCGTATGAACCGTGAAACATCGATAACACAGGGATAACACAGGGAATGCAAACAATTTAGGTTTACTTTGCTAATCTATTTTATTTTGTTAATTTTATCCCAGAAACAACTGTATGACTCATCAGATTATGTATTATTTATGCATTAGGTTTATATTTACTTTATTTCCAGCCATCTATATGCAGAACTAATTAAAGGATCACCGATCTATCCCCCAACAGAATCCCTTAACCAAAGGAAGCTCTAAAATTGAGAGAATGTACTAATCCCTAGTCCCGTCCCATAGTAACAATTACATCGCATATTTTCATGATGATTGTTTGACCGACGATAAAACAAACTTTCCCATAAAACATAAATTTAAATATAATAAATTTTGATGCATAAAACTGTTAGTACCGGAATATTATACAAAGGTTCCAAAAATGGCTATGGACTGGTATTACTTCTAGTCGTATATAATTCAATACATTTTTTTTAAAGTTTATTATCTGCGCTATAATAGTAATCGTGCCGCAAGATAATTTTTTGAGATAAATAAGTGTAAATTCATTTGAGAAAGTTACAAGAAAGTTATATATAAAGTATTCTAAATATTAATCACCATTATTGCAAATAATAGAATTAATAATAGAATTAAATAAGTTACAAGAAAGTTATATATAAAGTATTCTAAATATTAATCACCATTATTGCAAATAATAGAATTAATATGGCAAGAGAAGTATATTCTGTAAAGTAATGACTTCATGCTTAAGATGTTTTTTGTTGGATTGATTTCCGTCTTCAATCAGATAAGAGGAGACTAGACTTAAATACACTAAACCAAACTAATAAATAATTTATATAGGTCGTGTTTTCTCATAAAACTTAGAAAAACTATTCAAGAAATTGAAACGCAGTTAAGGATTCACTAAGTAGGAACTTTTTTATCAAACCGAATAAAAAACGGAATTAGATAAAATTGGGAGAGAACAATAGGGTGCCTACCTATGATCTACTCTAATTATAGGGAAAGGCTTTGTTAGTTGTAAAGTGGACATTTATCATATCGGATCACATATTAACATATCAGGTCAAATCAAACCAAAAAATTTCAGGTCAACTAAACATATCTAAAATTTTCCAACAATGTTCAACATGTTTAAATAGGCAAATCATGAATTTTTTTCAAGCATTATGTTTCGGTTATAAGAAACGTCACAATTCAATAGAAGAATCACATGACTCGCATATGAACTTTAGTTTTTTTTATCAACAAAACCAACAACGAAATATCAGATTACAAAAGCAAATTGGTAGTACAAAAGCTAGGATAACGGGATCATGTAGCAGAATAGGAGGCCATGGTTAACTGAGACGATAACATTGTTGCAATTCTACACATTACAATAAAAACTTATTCAATGACAAGTATTTGCGGCTATCCGAGATATAGTTTATTAGTGGCCCTAATTACATTAAATAGATCTTAGGTAATTCAATAATTCAAGACACCAAATTGAGTTGTATGGAGTTGTGTTGTCAACAATGTTCTTTGAGCTGCACCATTCGTTTATGTATTAAATCAAAAGGATAACCCAAACATGGGCTAGAGAGTATCATTTTGATCTGAAAAAGGTCTGAACATTGACTTTTTCTAGAGTATTGGGGTAAAAACAAACGTGGATTATACTTCTCACTAACATTGTGACATTAGGGGGTGATTCGTTTATTAAAATGAGATTATGTTGTTGATATTGAATTGATAAAGTAAGAATAATGTAAGAATGATTTAGAACCAGACAAAATTTACCAAATTTGGTATGAGACAATATTAATGGGATGAACCAAAAAGAAAAGATACAGTCTTAGCGTGACGCGTGAAGTATTGAACTACTCTATAACTACTTTTTACACTCTCCTGAGATGAAGCCCTTGTTTCAATTTATGATCCTTTATTGAGGGACAAAGTTAACTCTTATCTAGTATTTCTTCCGTCCTATGTGGTTGTCTTACTTTACTTTTTGGATTGTCCTCAAATAAATATTATGTTTCTTTTTTTTACAAGAAATATATTATCTTTATCAAGCTAAAACAAGACATCCAATATGAGGCAAATAATTTAGTAATATTTAAACTATTATAGGTAATTGCAATTTTAATATTCCAAATTGAACCAAAGTAATATTGAATTCTAGCTAAATTCAAATATGAACAATATGAAAATAACAATTTCAGCTTAAACATGTCACTAATCCCTAAAGTTTTTTACCATGGCTTGCATGCAAAATTTCCATGACTAAATGGTTTTCACGAGGATTCACCGACCATTGCCAAATCTATTTCAAAATAGCCGTCTAGTCCATTTTATGATGATAATTAGGAGATGTTTGAAACTCATTCTGCTTATACTTTTTTTTTAAACATAAGCGGAATCAGAATCAATTTTCAGAAGCTGGTCTTCCCCAGCTTCTAAAAAAATTGTTTCTAGGAGTAAATTAGAGCACCATACGCACTTCTACATTTCACCCAAACACTCCAACTTCTGCCTCTGCTCCTATAAGGATTTTAAGAATCTGATCAAGGAAAAAAACTGCCAAATTTGTTGTATTTTGTATTAGAATATGATAATAGATCAATGTACATAATCACATACATAGTATTACAATACAGTTGTGCTAAAGACATAAATTGAACTTTTTTTGAAACGGTGGTAGTAGTACTCCCTCCGGTTCTTAATTAAGTTCCTAGTTTGAGTTAACACATTTTAAGAAAATAAATTTATTCATGTGTAAATTTTTCTATAGAGTACACTGTTGTCACATTGTTTGACACTGTTTGACACTGTTTTGACACTTTATTGGTGTAGATTTGTTTGTCAAATAAGGAAGTGTGAACTTGTTTGGGACATACAACAAGGAAAGTAGGAACTTAAATACGGGACGGAGAGAGTATATTTTTCCAAGTTGATAGTATTATAAAATTTGTTTCATAACGCGTACGATAAGATATGAATCTAAGGCTACGTATTTATTACACTCATATTTTTTCGTATATTTTTCCGTTTAGTGCGTATTATATCTCGTTGGAAATATCATTTTGAGTTCTAAGTCTATTCTTAGAACTATATTTACAATGAATTAAGTAAAATGTACAAATTAATCTTAAATTCACATACATTTTCGATTTCACTCCAAATTCGTGACACAGAGTACGGAGTGAAATCGGTCCGATGAGAAAGGTTACTCCATATAAAGCAAACTATAAACAAAATTATACTCCGTAATAGAGATCCAAAAATTATGTAAAAACAATATAGTTCTGTTTGTAGATGAGATACTCCCTCCGTCCCTAAATTATCTTCAAACTTTCCTTTTTCGTCCGTCCCAAAATTATCTCCTCTTCCCCCTTTTAGCAAAAAATTTGTGGTTCACAACCATTCTTATACATTCTTACACATTTCTCTCTCCTCTGCACAACTCTCTACCACACAAATCACACTATCTTAATAAATGTGCCCAGCCGAAAAGGGAGAAAGATTAGGGCGGAGGAAGTAATATGGATGAGCTATAACAGACACATTATGACTCCTTAATCGGGAAGCACGTCACGCGGGTTTTGCCATACAACACTTTGGATCAGTTCGATAAAGGTTACTCCTTAATCTGCTTCTAGACAAATGTGTACCTAAAGTTTTTTTGAAAGAATACTCATTTTAGGAAGCTTATAACTCCGATACTCATTTAAAAAATGTGGTACCGTACCTACCACTTACTTGATTGATTCAAAACATTACATCATTTTTAATTTAGATTTAAATAATTCAACTACATCATTCTGATTGATCCATGTGGACAAATGTATGATACCTTAATGAGCTATGCTAAAGGTACCCCAAAATTGTACCCCATTTTTACCACACTTCTAATGTGGTTGGGGCAACTCATTTAAGTGGGGTACTACTTAAATGGGTTGACCCATTTATGACCACACAATTAAGGGTGAGTAAAAATGAGATACAACTTTATAGTATCTCATTTTTACCCATGCAAATCTAGCAATACATGCAAATCTGTACCATACGGTTGAGGTTGCCGCGAATCGAGGGATGTATATAACGTGCTCATCTAGTCATCCTTTCATTTTAGCCTGTTTTAGACATTTTCAAATGTAATCCTCGCTCGACAGCCAGAAATATAGGCGTGACATCTGACAAGGCGTGAGGAACGGATCATCCCTTTCTTCCATTTTATCCAGAAACTAAACTGCCTCAATACACGCACATACATATGCGCCTCACCTCTGGTTCGCGAGCAAACACGTGTGCTCAGGCCACCATACCCAGATAAAGTCAGAGGTCAGTTGAAAATTGGCAAGAAAATTCCAGGAAGAAAGCTATTTCCCAGATTGGATTCCAACGCGTTTATCAACCGACAGCAAATAAAGAGATAAACCCACTTTCTAGTTTCTCTCCTATCTGTCGTTGACGTTGTCATCACCTCCAGGCGCTTTCCGCCGCCGCCGCCCCTTGAAAGTCTCACCAGTTTACCAGACCGTTCTTTAAAGAACTGAGCTTTCTGTATGTAGGTGTAAATTTTCATGTGTTGTTGTTGATTTTGTTTATTGAGGAGGAAGTAGACCCAGATTTGTGATGGTGGATCTGAGGTTTTTGGCGTTATTGGTGGTGCTCTGTGCGGCTTTTACTGATGGGAATAGCAATCTGGTGTTCAAGGTGAAGCATAAGTACGGCGGACGTGGGAGCTCCGTCCTGAGGGAGCTGAGGGCCCATGATTCATCCCGCCACCGCCGGATGCTCGCCTCCGTCGACTTCAAATTGGGCGGAAATGGTCAACCCACGGATGCTGCGTAATTCTCCACCTCCCTCTCTAACACATATAGCGCTGTAAATAGTTGAGCTGAGTTGACTTTGATCGCTAGATCCAATCTTGATTCACTTCACCCAACAACTATTACCGTGCGTCTATATTATTTCTCTAGTGCAGTTTTTTAATTTTTTCCTAACATTCTCTAGCTCTGTTTTAATCTCTACCATGTCATCAATCAGAGGATTTGACTGGATTCTGAAAGTTGCAAATTTGATTTATTTTCTGTTTTTTGGACATTTAGTCTTGAGAAGATTGGGAGATAAAGTCAATTATTTGAATTTGATTCAATATGGTTTTCGCCTTTCCCAGATGAAACTTGAAAGGTTAACTCAGGGTGAATATGAGTATTGGCAAATCAATTTGTTTGATATTTAAATTTTCTACCATATTGTTTAGGATACGAATCACTTATCACCAGTCACTACCATCACATTATTCCCAAGTTGGGTTTGATGACATTTAGTTTATAGCGGGAAAGTATTTATATAAAATTAGTTTTTACACTGTAATCTCAATTATAAACCATAGCATGGATTAAATAAAACTGTATAAACGTGTCTTCTTACTTTTTGAGCATTGGCATGTGTGTACTACTATCTGCTCAGCTTCTTATACTCCTTGGAACTGTGTATTAATGGTTGTGTAAAATTTTCCCTATATTTACTTGGAAAATTCTTGTTTTTGGTAATATATGTCTCAAATGGCTGCAGGCTATACTACACTAAGCTTTCAATTGGAACTCCTTCAAAGGAATATTATGTCCAAGTTGATACTGGTAGTGACATTTTATGGGTGAACTGTGCTGGCTGTATCAAGTGTCCTACAAAGAGTAACATTGGGGTGCATATTTTTCCATAATGTTTGGTAATGACTGGTTGATTAGGCCTTGTTTGGTGATAGTTTTTGCTTCTTTTTTCTACCTGGTTTAGACAAACATCTAATTCTAATGTGTGGTGAACAACTTTTTTGTATGACCTGAGGTAGATAAAAAAACATACTCCCTCCGTCCCTAAATAAAAGCATCTGTTTCCTTTTCTGGCCGTCCCTAAATAAAAGTTCCCTTTCCTTTTTTGGCAAACAAAACAGTGCAAAACAGTGCCAAACAGTGCCAAACAGTGTCCAAACAGTGTCAAACAGTACCAACCAAACCCACTTTCTTAATATGTGTGTAAAATGCATGGATACTTTTATATAGGGACGGAGGGAGTATGTATCAAGCGATTTCAGATAGTTTTTTTAGAATCCTCTTTTTATACATCAACCGGTGTTAACATCTTATTAGAGTCACCAAATGTGCATGAACAGGTACGCGTAAACAACTAATTACCAAACAAGGCCTTAGTCCTCCATGTTTTATTTCCTCCACAACTGTTTTGCAAACTTTTCTCTCATGACAGATTGATTTGACGCTATATGACATGAAAACCTCTTCGACAGCAAAGGCAGTTGGTTGTGATCATCATTTTTGCACCACTATGTTCAGCACTCCATATTCTGATTGCAAGGCTGGAATGCCGTGTGAATATCAGGTTTCTTATGGGGATGGAAGCAAAACAGCAGGATACTTTGTCCAAGATAATGTTCATTTTGATCAGGTGTCAGGAAACCTTCAAACAAAGTCAATGAATGGGACTATAGCATTTGGGTGAGTTTGAGTTTCTATCTCTTAGACCTGGTTTTCATCGTTTCTTATTAGTGGTACAAACTGAATTTTTAGCACTTCGATGAAAACTAGACAAGTTACACACACATACATATATACATGTATGGGGTGCAGTTCAAATGAGAATGATGCTTAATGTGAGAATGTGAGAACACCCACATTTAAATCAATGTGGTGCACAATGAAGCTCTTTTGTTGCACATTTTTAAATTTGCTCAAATTGAGTCAATATCAAATAACACAATGGTGTTTTGGTAAATATTGTGACAACCCAAAAAAGTGCAATATACGAGTTTCATTGTGGTAAATGTGGTGTTCTCACGCTCTCACGAGTCACGTTAAGTATTGTTCTCATTTGATCTTATATACTAGTATTATATATATACACATAATATATATATATATATATATATATATATATATATATATATATATAATGCTAGCTTAGAGTGTGTTGCTAATGTTATTTGTTCTCTGAATTTTGTGTACGATCTTTCGCATAGTATTCATCTCTAATTCCAGAGGGAATATATTGCTTAATCCGTACTTATACTACTCATAGTAGTCTCGATGTGCAAGTAAATAAAGTTACAATCTATTGATCGTACAATATTGCTAATTTGCTATTGAATTTATTAACTAAAATAGAGAACCAATACTAATAGCAAACTATAACCAATAGTAATAGTAAACCTATACTACTTTTATGAAGGCTCACATGGTGATTTGGCTTCCTGAGCCCGTATCAGAAAACACGGGAGATGAAGAAGAAAATCAATCTCTAAATTTTTAACAAACAGGGGAGAGAGGCATGTTCCTTCTGTTGCATAACTGCACTCAAATAAAGTTACAATCTATCTGACATGTTTATTTAACTAATTCAACATGAGATTGGCTAATTCATTGGTGACCAATGATTATAAAGGACTGTGGCACTTCAACAAGTCATCATTTAGTGTAAATATATCATTTTTCTTGTCCAAGAGTAATAGTTTTCCATGGAAAATGTTACTTTGAAAAAGTTGCATACTCTCAGGGAATAATGAAAATAGTTTAGCATTTACTGCCTGGAAACTACTGTCTCGTATGGATTAGACATATGTCCTCAAATGTGTAAACCCTAAAAATACTTATGAGTCATAGTTAATGTTTTTGATCGAAGATAGGTGTTCAGGACAACAAAGTGGAGAGCTAGGCACATCTACTGAAGCAGTTGATGGGATAGTTGGTTTTGGACAAGCAAACTCATCCCTCATTTCACAGCTAGCAGTATCTGGGAAGGTGAAAAAGGTATTTTCACACTGCTTAGATGGTAACAACGGAGGGGGCATATTTGCTATTGGACAAGTTGTTCATCCTAAAGTAAAATCAACACCACTAGTTCCAGATCAGTAAGTGATGCTATGTGTTACACCCTTTATCCCTATATAAACATCACAAAATGATATCAACAGTTCAAAATTCATTAACTTTGACCTTTAATATTTCATAAATTGTAGTCTTTTGTAATATGGAAGTACTCTTGACGAATTTGTGCTAATTGTGGTGGGGGGTAGTAGGAGTCAATTAGTAGCACTTGTTTTTTTCCGTGTTTCGTTTAAGTCTTATGCCTTATTGCTTTTGTATTAAGATCACCAATCAACTTTTTTTGTTGCACTTTTGGTTTTACATGTGTTGTCTTGTCCTTAGATTGCTATTTTTCTGAAATTGTTGCTTATAATTTTTTTAACATTGCTTCTTTACCATCTTAGGCCGCATTACAATCTCATTATGAAGGGAATTGAGGTGGGTGGTGTTCCTCTTGTTCTCCCAACATATACATTTGACATAGACTCTTCAAGGGGGACGATAATTGACAGTGGTACAACCTTAGCATACCTTCCAGACAAAATCTATAACTCTATCACTACAAAGGTACATTGGGTGCATTAAGAATGTTTTTTTATTCCATTCGATGGTGTTTTTTCCAGAACTTCTTGGTAAAGTATAGAAAGCAGTTAAAGGGTGGTGGAGATCTAATATTGGGTGGATGGAGTTCTATTTAATGGGTAATGGAGTTTTATTATGCAGGTCTCTTCCCAAAAAAACTAAGCAAGTCAAGTAATAGTGCAATACAACACAACCTTAAAAGGAAAGTGAGACAAATAATTTCGTAGGGAATAATTTCCTAATCTCATTAGATGTAGGGTTTAGATTCCTTATTCTTATAAGGTTTAGGCCCATTATCTCTTTATACAATTATAAAGGACCATTATAAGGCATCACAATAGTCTTCAAGAATTATAAAATTGTAGATAAAATGTTTTATTAAATAAAGGACCTCGGGTTTTCACACATCTTAAGCATTATTTGACAACTTTTAATGCATGCATTCATGTTATGTTTCTGCAGATATTTAAAAAACAAAGTAGCCTGAAGAAATATACAGTTGATGAGCAGTTCAGTTGCTTTGACTACACCCAAGAGTGAGATCAGTTATACGCGTCATTTAATTTTGTATTTTTCTTTTGAAAAATGACCAACATGTATCTCAGAGTTTAAATGGACAAAATAGGACTACTTTTGAACATTTCAAAGAAAGTGTCCATAATCTCCATACCCTAAATCTATCCTAACTTCTTCTCTTTCCCATGTGCCGCCAAGCTGACCACCACCAACTGATGGAAAAAGTCACTGAGCCATCGCCAAGCACAGTGATACGTGTGGTGGTGTCACTGACAGTGGTGATGTATTACTAAGTACTAACGGTGTCCCTGTGTTTTGACTTACGTTTTGTTACCTTTTGGAAAAAAGTAGTCATATTTTTGTTATCAACTTTTCCTCTAGTCATTATTATGCCAAAACCTCTTTCCTTTTCTTAGTCTTGGCGCCATTGTTTAACTCTATGATGTTATACCTTGGCTTAAATGCCATATTATGTGGTTATGTATCATTAATGCCAAATTTATATTTCTTGATGTATGTCATTGCAAGTTACTGATCTACCATTACTGATCTTGTACATTTTTACCATCCTAATTTCCTGGCTGGTGCAGCATTGATGAAGGATTCCCAGTTGTCTCTTTTGTTTTTCAAAATTCACTTCGCTTGGAAGTTTACCCACATGATTATCTTTTTGAAGTCAAGGTAAGTGATCTAAGGCTCGGTTGAAGAGCTTATCTCAGAGCTTGAAGTCTATTTTCAAGATATTTAAGTCATACAAGTAGGACATCTAGGAAGGGTTTTATTCCCAACGTGATCTCTTATAGCTTCTCATAACTATATACAGAGTCTGATGTTTTATTTTAATTTACTAATAAAACTATGTTTTCTACAAAAATAATACTCGGTGCCTTTTATCAATCTTCAGAAAAATATGATTCTGTTCATATTCTTATATCTTTATATTTAAGAGCTTATTAAATGTGTAATGGATCAAATGTTTCATTCATACTAGAATAAATAAAGCTTACTCGGTTTAAACCCCTTACTTCTTCATCTTTCTATTGTGAGTCTGCAACTAGCTCTTGAATTAGTGCCAAACGTAGCCTATGGAATTAATAATAGTAGTCTAACCTGCTGATCTTCTATATCTTTTCACAAAAAATCTCTATCAAGTATGAGGCTATTTTGGAACACAAAAAATTGTAGGGTAAGGGGTAAAATGTAGCGATATATTTACGTTTGCGTATATTTATATATAATAGAAATGTATAGATAGAATGTGTTTGAACTGTGAACAAATATCTAAAATTGCGTTGTTGGGTTGATCCATTTCCCGCTTTTCGACTCAGTTCTTTTCCCTCCCAAATTTCCTCTCTATTTTTATCCTTATTTTCTTCCCCTGACATTTCCAGGTTGCATATGGACCCTAACTATATAAGTATTCATTGCCTTATCCATAAATGATCATACTGTAGAAGAGATTACACTATTCATATTACCTAACTGTGTAAGAATGTGTTGCCTTATCCCTTCCCAAAGGCAAACAAAAATATTTGTTTCAAAAGTTTCATTTTTCAACCTATTTTTGCTCTTAAATGTGATTTGTTATAGAGGGGATTTGAGGGTAGGCCCTATGGATTTTATTTACCCGCACAGTGTATTAGTGTGATTACACTGTTGATTACATAACACATTCTTCATATAAGAGTGCCATACAATAGTGGCTTTTTAATTAAATAATGGATTAATGCATGCAGGATAATGCATGGTGCATTGGTTGGCAAAGCAGTGGAATACAGACACGAAGTGGGGCAGAAATAACGTTGCTAGGAGGTAATTCTACAATTTTTTACCTTATTATTGTTGTTGTTACTACTAGTATTATTACTGTCATTATTGTTATCATGACGATGATGATGATGATGATGATGATTATTCTAATTCAAGTGCGGAAATTACCTATGTTCTTCATTTTAGAAATTTCTTGGTTATATGTCATTATAAGGCAACACATATAGGTATCATTTGGTTTAATATTGACCTCCTGCTGCAGACATGGTACTATCTGGCAAGCTGGTTGTGTATGATCTAGAAAACCAGACAGTTGGCTGGGCAGATCATAACTGTAAGTATATATTGTTCAAGAAAGGGACTAACTATAGAAATGAATGGTGATGATGATATCATCTACTTTCCCTTCAATGTTTATAGTTGCAGTTTTTCCTCCATTTTCAGGCTCTTCAAGCATTAAGGTAAAAGACCAGACGTCTGGTAAAGTTTATTCTGTGGGCGCTCATGATATATCATCGGCGTATATAGTCGGAGAGATTTGCAATTTTTTTATTCTGTTAATCTGTACGATTCTTATATGTAATTTATATATGTAATTTGATGATATAGAATTGAATCTGAAAGACCTCACCCCCCCTGTTATTTTTTTACTTTCTGATTTGTTAAAATTGGATCTCATTCTTTGTGAATTGTGTCTTTCGTCACATTCTCTTGTCTTTTACTTCCTTGGCAGGAGTACACCTTATGACACTAAACATAAAACATCCATGTTTAATTAAAAGCAGTAATTTGTGAAAAATGTGGGCTCCTGAACTGCTTGCACATTCAAAGCAAGCGATTTATGGGATGTGCGGAGCTTTTTAAAAACAGAAGTGGAATCCGAATAAGCTTTTCGGAAATTGGTTGCTCTCGACTTCTAAAAAATTGTTCTTAGGAGCAATTTGAAGTAGGGATGGACTAAACCGGGCCGGCCCGGCCTGCTACTGTACGGGCCCGGACCGGACCGGGACCGGTTGGCCGGTTCTGGGCTTTTAGCCCGTTTGGGCGGGTCGGGCGGGCCGGGCTCGGGCCCAGTTTTGAGCGAACCGGCCCGGGCGGTTCGGGCCGGGCCCGTGTCATGTTTTTTTGTTTTTTCAATTTTTTTTCTTTTCCTAGGGTAGGGTAGGGTGTTTTGGGGAGGTTTGGGTGTGGTGGTGAGGGGGTCAGGGGATAACAAGAAAACAAAAAAAAATTAGACATTGAATCGGGTCCGGTCCGGCCCGGTTAGGCCTGGACCCGGTATCAACCCGGGCCGGTTCTGGGCCCAAGGATTTGCAAAAAAAGCCTGCCCGGGCCTGGCCCGGAACCGGACCGGCCCGGGTCCATCCCTAACTTAAAGTACTTTTGCATTTTCGCTAAAAGACATTAATATCTACTTCTTCTCCCCCGAAGAACTGAAGAAGTAGAAACAGTTTGAAAAAGTAGACCCATTTGAAACGATTGAATTCATTGAAAGTTTGAAACATTGATGAAACGACGAGTTTCCTAATTTGTATGGATTTCTTACATTTTCGACATAAACCCATCCTTATTTCTTTTTCTCTTTTTTCTTAAATTTTTACATACTTATCTAACTTTAGAATTATTGCAAAAACCTTTGTTTGTACAACTAAATTGCCGTGGTTAGGAAGAACCGCTGAATTTTTTAGCAAGCTCTAATTTTTTCTAAATGCATTAATTATTTGTTTCTTTCCGCTTACCAGACAAGAGAAAATTCTCCCTAAATTTTGGATCCATAGTATACTTAGTAAGTTACTAGTAGGAGTTTAACACTTGTACTTAAGAAGCACTTTCACTAAATGTCACACTTTTCAAATTGTACTGCTTTGGATCTAATTAGAATATTTGAGGCGAATTAAAAACATCTCAAATTTCAATAAGAAAGGTTGTTTTTTTAAAATTATTTCTTGAGTTTATTTACCAAACACACCCTCTTAGGTGCTCCTATAACTTATCTCACTTGTACATGTAACACAAGCACCCAAACACCATTGCATTTAAAAGGGATAAAGTTGTCTCTTAATAAAATATACTGTTGTATGAATACCCTGAGAATGTCACACTGGTTTTTTTCTTTTAGAAATTGCTCTAAATAGGAGCAAAAACGTTTTGAAATTCCAAAATAGGAGTGTCATGTTTTTTTATTTCTTTAATAGGAGTAATCTGCCAAGTTTGGAAAAAATGACATGTTTTAAAGCCTAGTAATGTCAAACTTGGCAGAAATTTACTCATATTCAAGGAATAAAAAATATGATACTCCTATTTTGGAATTTCAAAACTTTTTTACTCCTATTTAGGGAAATTCTTTCTTTTTCTTTCTACATGACCAATATGAGATACCTTAAAATAATAATATTAATATTTGATTGATGATTTCCATTTTGATCCATGAAAAATCCACTAGTAAAACCTTAAAACCATTAGAGATTTGATTGGGAGTTTGCTCAACTTGTGGAAATTTCCATGTATGTGCATAGCAAGATTTGGAGCCTATCATCTCTCATGTGTACTTGAGTTGGGTGGAAGAAGTGGGTCCCATTTGAGGGGCAACTAGCGGCGCCAAGTCTTCATCTTTACTTGGTTTCCAAGCTCACCCACCCACCCCCCACCCACCCAACTCGTCCGATTCCCATTTCCAAATCCATTGTTCATTTACCCTTTCAAGCAAAATACAACCACATTCTTCCATGTTCATTTGCCCTTTCCAGCAAAACTCCAAATCCATTCTTCATTTTTTATATTCCCTGCCCCTCCCCCTTTGTCCCCCCGGTCCCACCCCACTCTCTCCTCCAACTCTAGGCCGCCGAATATATTTTACCTTCTCCCTCCCTAATTCTTTTTCAGACTTGACAAGGACCTTGCATAAGGAAAAAGGAAATTCATTTCCATTGTTTCAAGGAGGAAGGAGTGTCCAACTTTTTTCAGACGCCAATTTAAAAATTTTACAAAAAAGGCAAAGGCATGAGAGCCCTTGATTTTGATTTTATCACATATTAAAGTGTCTCACATCGATTGCGTATAAAGATATAAACAACGCATAAAGGTTTGAGTTACCCGTCCTATCAAACCGATTGCGTATAAAGATATAAACAATGTATAAATGTTTGAGCTATCCTTACTATCAAGGTTGATGATGGAACCCCAATACTCGACTTCGTTTGAGCTTCTACGAGCAATTAAATCTTGGTAAGCCTCAATAACAAGTCGTGGATTACAAAATTGATCTGCTCCAACGAGTCACCATCTTGCGCGTATATTAAGTTGTCCCACAACGATTAGGTTGAAAAATATAAAACAAGATCCTACTTGGATATAAAAATGGAAACCAACATATAAAAAGTTTGAATTACTTATCCTAAGATTGATCCTTTTAAAACGTAACGCTACATTTAATAATATCTTCATTATATAGTTGGTGTTAATTTTGCTGCAGGTCAAATACTAAACAGTTCAAACTCTGCAAGACTATTCTCTAGAAATCAATGAGTATTGTTTTCAGATTAACAATGTCAATGCTTGAGGTAATCACCTTTATACCCACCTTATATTCACCATGTTTGTGATTTTTTTTGTCTGTGAATCATGTCACAAACAAAATATGTGTTATTTGTTGGAATAAATCCGATAATACTTTAATCTTCATATTGAAATTATCTAGAGAAATTAACTGAGCGGAAGCGTACCTGACTCCATGGGAGATGATCTTTAGGGATCCGGGAGACGGAGGCTAGGGTTTGCGTCTTCTAGTTGATACACACCCTCGGGATTATCTCTCTAGCGATGGGATGCAGAAAGACGGAATGACGTGTTCAACTAGGGACCATAACCCTTTATTTATAGAGAGTGCTTAACCCTAATTAGCCCATCATTGATTAGGTCAAGCCCATGGGTCTCTACACATTTGGGCCCTATACCTTATTAGATAACTTATTAGCCCACTTAAATTAATATCCATAGAACCACTAATTTTTGGGCCTAAATATAAGATAGCATATAACATACAATTAAACCCAATAAATAATATACTGTGAATATTACATGTAGTATAAGTCCAATAATATAACAATTTTGTCTATGCAAATTTTACACAAACAAAATATTGTCTGTGAACAGAATTCAGATAAAAAAAACTTTCATAAACATGGGTGAATATAAAAGTAGGTATAAGAGTGAGTACAAAAATCATTTTTGTTTGAGAATACTAACGTAGCAATTGGAGTGTTGTAGTATCATACGAAGTAAGTAAATAGTACGGAGTACTATAGTACTCTATGTAGTAACATAACATAGTTGCTATATTATTATTATTATTATTATTTATTATTTATTGATATATGCATATTAATTAGATCAGTTAAGATAAAATAATTCAAAGACAAGACCATTAAAAAAACAAGCCGCCAATAATAATGTTATTTAATACTTCATTAATTTTTAAATAGTTCACTGTCTAGGCTCTATTTGTATAGAGCAACATATTTCCTAGAAAATGCTTTTGTCATCCCGTGTATGGTATCGAAAAAAAGAATCCTAAAGGAAAGTAGATTCCGATTTCATTGACATTTTGAGGAAAATGTTTCCCTTTTTTAAATCGGGAAAGGGTCCCTTCGAAACAATTTCACGTTTCTATTTTTGAGTTTAAATAGAAACTCTTGTTTCATACTCTTTCCGTTCTTAAATATGAGTCCTCTTAGACTTTGGCACGAGTTTTAAGAGCAAAATAATATGGATAGTGTAAAAGGTATAGTGGGTTGTAGGTAAATGAAAAATTAGGAAAGAGAAAGAGGTAATAGTAATAAAAGTGAGGGTATAAAAGTATTTTGATTGAAAAAACTTACCAAAAAGGGAAAGATGGACAAATAATTAAAAATGTCCCAAAAAGGAATGCGAGACAGTTAATAAAGAACGGAGGGAGTACTTCAGTTACTCGTCACATACTCTATTTAAGAAATTATTATTTGCATTTATTTCATTTTTATATTTGAAAACATTTAGCTTACTCTTTAGAGCTCCTTTGTAGTATCTAAATCAGCTCTATCGACTCATTTTGAGAAATTTATGAATTTGCGATCGAAGTGGCTGATTTTGCTTATTTTTGGGGGAAAATTACTTAAAATACTCCTCCGTCCCTAAAAGTTCTTCCATAAGTACAAATGACACGGATTAAGAAAGTTGATATTGTGTGGTGGAGAGTTGTGCAGAGCAGGAAGAAATGTGTAAGATGTGTAAGAATGAATGAAAAGGGAAAGTTGAAAGTTATTTTAGGAACAATATATTATTAATAAAATAAAGAAAAAATTATTTTGAAAAACATCCAAAATGAGCTCAATATGGTAACTTAGGCTATGTTTGGCACACATAAGCCTTTTCCGTCTTGTAGCTTTTGTATTGTTCAAAAAGTCTCAAAAAGCTTCTAGTTTTATGTTTGACATGACAATTTTTAAGAGCTTTTCAAAAATTAAAAGATCTTTTTTGAGATGCTACAGGGAGTAGCATCTGAAAAAAGCTCGTGACTTTTAGTATTAATTAGTCCTAACAGCTTGTATACCAAACCGAACTAAATCAAACAGTCAACTTTTTTACCAAACAGCTATCACATTTTCTCTTTAAGATCTTTTCAGTCACTAAAAGCGAACAGTTATTAAAAAGCTTACAAAAATATCTTTTCAGCTAGTTGTGCTAAACATATCTTTTGTCATTATGACCGTAAACACAACAAAATTAACCACTCACTATAAGCTCAACAAATTTAATGGACAGAGATTGTGGGATTGAGGGAATATATGTATGAGCATTAAAAAAAGCCAAATGATTAAGGGGGAAAGTACACCATACATATTTGAAATGTAAGTGTGATTAATGCAATCCTCGAATGTCATACTATTATCTTATCTCTTTCCTTATCTAGCTAACCCTCCCTCCCCTCAACTTGTTCTTAGCTTCCTTTTTATATTATTATTATATATATATACGAGTATATTTTACTCCATTCAAGGACATGCTATACACCCCCAATCATCCAGATAGATACAGATTGAGAGAGAAAGTTTCTTTTTTTAAAAGAAAACTATATACTCATTTTTATTATTATAAATATTATATTTATATGATGAAAGGAGAATATGTAGAAGAAAGGAAAGATCAGTTCAACACTATGTTTGCTAAGCTCCATCAGACCCAGAAGTTCCACCACCACCACCCCTATCAACAGCCTCCTCCCCCGCCGCTCTCTCAGGCCATCTTCCACCACCCTTTCCAGCTCTCCGCCCCCGCCCGGGAATGCCAGAACTCCGATGACACCGACAGCCGCAGCCCGACCACTCCATCTACGGCGACAAACACCGCAAAGAAGCAGCAGCCCATCTCTCCGCAGCCGAACTCGTCCTTGGTTGTGGCGGTGGCGCGTACGTCTTCCTCAGGAAACGACGGCGCATCCATAGAGGTCGTCCGCCGCCCGCGCGGCCGGCCTCCCGGGTCGAAGAACAAAGCGAAGCCGCCGGTCATCATAACCAGGGAGGCCGAGCCGACCATGAGCCCTTATATTTTCGAGCTCCCCGGCGGGGTTGACTTGATCGATTCCGTGACCCGATTTTGCCGGAGGCGGAATATGGGCGTCTGTGTGCTGAACGGGTCGGGTTCGGTTTCGAACGTGACGATCCGACAGCCCGCCACGACTCCCGGGGGCACCGTTACTTTCCACGGCCGTTTCGAAATTCTTTCGATTTCAGCGACCGTAGTGGTGGGGCCCAGCTCGGGCGGCAGCTTTCCCCCTCACAACGGAATAGTGAACGGGTTCACGATATCTCTGGGTGGGCCCCAGGGGCAAGTGGTGGGCGGGGTCGTGGCGGGGCCCTTGCTATCGGCGGGGACGGTGTACTTGATCTCAGCCACCTTTAGCAACCCGTCGTATCACCGCCTGCCGGCGGATGAAATGGAAAGGAAGGAAGGGCGTGACCTGCAAAATTCGCCGGAGGTTTCCGGCGGAGTCGACAGAGTTGTTGCGGCGGCGGAAGCGTGCGGGGTCCCGATGTACAGCTGCCACATGCCGTCCGATGTGATCTGGGCTCCCACTGCTAGACAACCACCGCCTTACTAGATGCAAATTCAAATCAGATTGTTTTCTTCTTCATTGATTTTCTAGACTGTAGTGGCCTTTGGCACTGTGAAAATTTGGAGTTCTTAAATTTAGTTCATCTTTCTGGATATTTTAATTATGGGTGACTCTTAATAACTGTACTTTGTCATTAATTTGTATCATCTTTAATCCATTTTTGTATGAAAAGGTGGAATTACATCCAATATCACCAAAGCTCCACACAGCAGGGTAAGTGGGGACTAAGACATTTATCCCAGCAGGTAATTCACATCCTTTCATATTTCAAGTTTAGGTAATTGTCAAATTTTTTACCTTCTTGACCAAATGACCTATTTGCCCCCCTACATTTTATGTGGTTTGATCTGATCTGGGACGGATCACAGCTTATGTAAAAATATCCTTACATGAATGGTAAATAAAGGAGTGTATCCTCCGCCAAAATGCTCATCCGTTCTTAATTATGAATGGAGTGTCATTCTTTCTGTGCACCCAAAATTTTGGGTTTTAATTTTGGGAAAAGGGGCAAATAAGTTCTCTAGTTAACCGAAAAATGCAAATCACCCCTTTTACATGCAGCTCTATCTGCCCGTTGTCATTCGGGACGTTCTCCGGTGGAAGTTTTTGATTAATATTTTTGAGCATATTCTTCATTAAATCTGGTTTATCCATATCAAATTTCAGCTAAAAATTCAATCAGGAAAACAGTCAAATAAATGTTTGAAGATATCTGAGCTAGTTAAAAAGTGCAGTATATTTCAGAAAATCATTTGACTGCTTCCTCCGTTAATTTTTTAGCTGAAATTTGTTATAGATAAACTAAGCTTAATGAATAAGATGCTCAGAACAATTCAACAAAAAATTCCATCGGGAACCGCCCCAAATAGTGACCGCCGAACAGAGCCTCCTATAAAAAAGTGGTGGTTTGCACTTTTCGATTAATTCGAGGCTTATTTGCACCTTTTCTCTTTAATTCTTTGGATGTTATTTATTTGATGAATGGTTACTGGTTAAAATTGTCTTGAAAACTCCACCTTACTTCAATTCATTTTTTCTTGCCCTGTTCACTTTTGTTATGGACATCTCTTTTTTTATACTACTTCCGTCCCCCTAAGTTTGTAGGGGACAAAGGGGAGTGTGGTGTGATTTTAAGAAAAAGTAGAATTGTATGTTTGGTATTGAATTGATAAAGTGAGGATAAAGTAAAAATAAATTTTAACCACTCAAATATCATCAAATATGGTATGAGACAAACTTAATGAGACGGATGAAAAAAGTAAAACAAGATAAAGTTAGGGAAGGAGGGAGTACCTTTCTTCACTTTCTTTTATCTCCACCTCTTCTTTTACCTTTTTAAACATGTGTTATCTCCATCTTTGCTTTTTCATTATTTTGCATTTTTGCGGGAAAATTTTTATTTTGGAAGGGTGTATTATTAGATACTTCCGGTTCTTTTTAGCGGTAACGATTGACCTTTACACATTCTCCAACGGACACATTTGATTGCAATTATATCTTAATCTCTATTAATTAAAAAATATGAAAAGTCGGATCTTTGAAAAATATTTTTTCAAAAAAACAATTTCCATAAATGAACCCATGAAATGTTTATATGGATATGTAGAATCATTTGCATTAGAGTTTTTTTCTCATGCAAAACCTCTTTGAGAGTTAACAACATGCCATTTGACCACGGCACTAAAGCTTGCATTAGAATTAAGACTGCATTTATACCCTAATTTGATTGTTCACATAATAACATTTACTCTATAATGTTTGCAAATGGTTATTGATTCATTTAAAACCATTTATTTCGGTCAAGTTTATTTGCATAATATGTTTGATACGGAGTAATTAATTTGCATCTCAAATCACAAACGAACAAGTGTATTACAATAACGTGAGTTAAATGGAAAAAACATGTGATTATGTTCGTGTTATATCAATAATCAATAGTGATAGTTTAACCAGTACAAATGTATATATGTCATTCATTAGGTTTTTGCACAGTTAGATTTTGAAAATATACCCCGAGTATAAAAAGTATTCTATATTATCAAATCTATTACAGTGACTGACACTAATAGTTCGACACGTAATTACAGGATCCTAATTAAGTCCTCCTGTCTTGGGTAATCCAAACTATAGAATATTGAGAGCCGCTTTGTGAACAATTTCTGTTTTATATACCAATTGCTTGTGTATACCAAAGAGTATAGACAAATGTAAACCCGCAAATGTACATGAATAAGACTGTTTACATCCCAACCTTCTTATCTTATCGTAGATGAGAGCCTTTACGATACTGGGTAATGATGATGATTATTATTCCCTCCGGATCTTTTTAAACTTCATAGTTTGACTTCAAATTGATTAAGAAAATAAATTTGATTTTACTGAACAGTACACAATTGAGACACTGTTTGGCACTGTTTCGCACTTTTTTGATGTAGATTTCTTTGCCAAATAGTGACAAATGTTTGACACTGTTTCGCACTGTTGAAACACTATTTCGCACTGTTAGACATCGTTTGGCACTGTTTAGCACTGTTTAACACTGTTTTGATGTAGATTTCTTTGCCAAATAAGGAAATAAGGAAGTGTGAAGTTTATTTTGGACCGTCCCAAAAAGGAAAGTGTGAAGTTAAAAAAAATCCGGAGAGAGTATTACTTTTGCACTTGTAAAATTTACAGAGCCTCTAAAAAAATTAAATTACGGAGTAAAAGAAAACGTGTAAAATAATTGAGTAGGATAATTATTTTTTGTTTGACATATACTACCCTTTTATTGGTTCCCACCGTTTTATTATCATGTTATCTGCAAATTTGCATCGACAAAACAAGACATACTCCATATTATACTTTGAGTAAAATCCTCAGAAATGTGGACACATAAGATTGAGTACACTAAAAATATTATAGCCTCGTCTCACTAGATTTTGTCAACTTTACTTTTTTGTTTGTCCAAAATAATATAGCCACTTTTCTTTTAAAACAATGTTTTTATGCTTCTATTCATTTATCTCTCCTCTTCACAAACTTCAACCACACAAATTCTATTATTCTAATTTCCCTCCTAACATTAACTTGACAAATTTGATTGGGACTGAGGTAATACTCCATATTTGAAATAAGCAATTAATTCATTCCAAATGGCGTTCAATGATTAAAATTTTTATTTTCATGAATATCAACACAATTTTGGATTTACAATAGGTCAAACTGTATGATGGGACGGTAATAGTAGTGCACAAGTAAGAGAAGCCAGGGTAGTTGTGGCTAGCTACTCCGTATATGGCATGTAGATGTTACCGGATCAGTGTGTCAGCGGTAATCAGAGGTTTGGTGAATATAATGTTGATGCAAATGTGAAGGCCGGGGCCGGTGGCGGATGGGTTTTGCCTTGAAGTGTGGAAGGAAGATTAGAAGATAGATGAGAGAGGTTGCGAGGGATGTGATGGTAATGTCGTCTCAGTAGTCGGCAGGATTGGCAGCAGCCAGCCTGCACTAGTATAGATGAGGAGGTACCTGGCTACTACTACGTTAACAAAAAAAAACTCATTTTTCGCTCGGTAACATTATATATTCTCGATTTTCTTTTTTAGCTTTAACATTCATATCTTCTTATTTCTAAATCTTCCGATCATATTCTTAATAATTTTAAAAATAATACACTATTACAACCATTTGTTTGGATTTATTCTTCATTCCAGCACACTATTTCATTATCTTCTCATCATAGGGACGGAGGGAGTATAAAAAGATTTCGTATAAAAAGATGGTCAAATTTGATAATCCTTTTACTATTCTCCAGCACACAGTTTTAATTTAGGGGCGGAAGGAGTATAAAAAAGACTTCCTAAGAAATATGTGTAAGTGTACTTTATTTAGTTTCGAAGTTTTAGTACTCCCTCCGTCCCTAAAAGGATCGTCAAGTTTGACCGTCACGTAGAATAATAAAGTAAAAACTGTGTGGTAGAGATTTGTGCAGAGGAGAGAGAAATAACAGGAGCCAAAAATTGATTGATTAAAAGGGAAAGTGGCAAAGTTTTTGGGACAACCAAAAAAGGAAAGTTGGCAAAGTTATAAGGGACGGAGGGAGTATACTTTATTACTTACTACGTTCCTATTAAAACTTCCAACTTTCTTTTTTCGTTCGTTCCAATTAAAATTTGTACTTTCTCTTTTTAGTAAAGAATTTGTGTTTCACAACATTTCTTACACATTTCTCTCTCATCTGCACAACTCTTCACCACACCATACCCACTATCTTAAATTGTGTATCAAACCTATTTGGAAGATAAAATAGGAACGGAGGGAGTACAATTTTTCGCTATTCATAGTAATGTTGTACTGGTGGACGTAACTCAACTGGTAGCAAGGGAGTGCCACAAGGGTTAGGTCCTGGGTTCGAATCCCGGCAACTGCGATGAGGGGTTACTATGCTAAAAATGCATAGGGCCTCTTCAAGTACCGAGGACAGAGCCCCACTCTCTATCTGTCAGATTAGGATTATAGTCCAATTTACATCCTCTCAACGTACCGTCCGGTCGGCGTTGAGGGGCTCAGGGCCCCTCAGGAATGGGGTGTCATCTTTTTTTAGTAATGTTATTTAATCTTTTTATTCATGTACTTCATTCCTATTTTGCCCCCAATACTTTTAATTCCTGGATCCGTCACCGCTCCCCTGTACTAAGGAAGTAAATAACTTCGCTCGCTTGATTCAAAATCCTGGATTTGTCCTTGATGACATTGATTGCGATCCATATAAATAAGAACAAAAATGATGTTTGTACACATTCTTATACATACTTTTGTACACACCTATGTCTGTGAAAGCTTTTTTTGTCTGTGAACATCGATTCAACAATGTTTTGCACAAACCAAATATTGTTGTGAATCGGATTCACAAACAAAAAAAACTTCCCAAACATGGTGTGTATAAGATGTGTATAAGGGTGTGTACATCAAGCATGATTGAAATAAGAAAGATTTTACTTGGACTTCTTAAGTTGCAAATCAAACCAGATCAATTCAGAACAAAGCAGATCTGACTAGAAAATTTCAATCAAATTACAAACATCGTAACTCCAAAATTGTGAATCAATATTTAGTTATGAAAAAATTAAATGGTTTATGGTCACGTACTTGTAATTACTACTACGTAATTTTTAGAATGTGAAATACGTAGTATGTAACATCGGTG